AGTATTAGTAGGCGTAGTAGTAGAAGTCGTCGTAGTCGTAGTAGTTGTATTAGGTGGTGGTAGTAGTAGTAGTCGCTGTAGTAGTAGTAGTAGTAGTAGTAGTAGTAGTAGGTCGTAGTAGGTCGTAGTAGTAGTAGTAGTAGGAGTAGTGGTTGTAGTCGTAGTAGTAGTAGTAGTAGTAGTAGTAGTAGTAGTAGTAGCGGTAGTAGTAGTAGTAGTAGTAGTAGTGGTAGTAGGAGTAGCGGCAGTAGCAGAAGTAGCCAACGCAGTAGTAGTCATAGTGGCAGTTCTGGTCGTATTATTAGTGGTAGTGATAGCAATCGTAGTAGTAGCCGTAGTAGTAGTAGTAGTAGTAGTAGTAGTAGTAGTAGTAGTAGTAGTATTAGTAGAAGTAGTAGTAGTAGTAGTAGTAGTAGTAGTAGTAGTAGTAGTAGTAGTAGTAGTAGTAGTGGTAGTAGTAGTAGTCGTAGTACTCGTCGTCGTCGTCGTCGTAGTAGTAGTAGTGGTAGTAGTAGTGGTGGAAGTAGTAGTAGTAGTAGTAGTAGTAGTAGTAGTAGTAGTAGTAGTAGTAGTAGTAGTAGTAGTAGTGTGACACAGTGGAGTATGACCTGAGGGGCGTGACCATGAGCTCTTGGACCTGCTCCACCGAGACGTACAACCTTCTGGGCTCCAACTTCGAGCTCTCGGGTGTCATGACAGCGAAGTGGGAGTGTGACCCTGCTGTGGTGCACGGCGCCCCCGATGACGTTGCGAAGTACGTTCGCAAATTTGTTCAGAATATTGATATCAGTTTTGGGGAAGGATGTTGTTGGGGCTTCGTCTTTCCTGGTGATCGGGAATATTCATTGGGGTATAGGTGGTTGATAACCCACCAAGCTTGGAATCGACTTCAACGCGCGCTTCACGGCAACGGACCTGACCGTGCAGCAAAGGTTGCGCTGCGCAAGAGATTTGCGAAGTTGGCCAGTACTCCTGCAATGATGTCATCTCGAGTTACGACGGTGCTCGAGATCAAGGGTACGCCACAGGCTCAGAAGACTTACGACCACCTCAGGAACGTGAGCAAGGAGCGCATGGCAGAAGTTCCACGAATGGAGGCGGACAAGATCTTTCCAGAAATCACGAAGTGGTTGAAGGAGAGGCCGATCGGTTCAACACCTCCAGCAACGGACAAGGAGCCCAAGAAGAAGAGGCTCAAGAAGAAGAAGACTACCACGGCTACTATTCCACCGAGCTGGCAGACGACTACCAAGCTTGATGATGCGGACTGGTCGTTGTCCACTACGCGCGGACTACCTCAACAGCATGGCGACATGAAGCGGATCCATCTGGTTACCGTCAGTGAGTTGTCACAGCTTTTAGCAGATGAGGACTTCTGGAACAGGGCGCCCTCGAGCGACCCATTTGGGTTTGTTCTCGCACAACCGCCAGATAGCCTACCCAAAGATCTTGTTCTTCAGTGTGCTCAACGTGGGCTGACGGACCTCATCTCCCTACTGAGTGTGCCGTTGGTCCATCCCGACGGCCGCCGCGAACTACGCAAGCTATTCGTGTGGCAGCACGTTGGCGAGCAGGGCACGGCCATCAAACCTACGCGCGTTCCCACCAAGATCGAATGCCAGGCAGAAGTTCTTATGTATGTGGCTGTGCTGGAGGAGCACTCATCAGAAAAGCTGTTTAAGGAGCTATTGCGTCTTCATCGCCAAGCAACAGCGGCTCGCGACAAGCGGGCTGAAGCAGGCGGTGGAGGCCCTCGTAAGATGTTCAATGAGTTGCCGCCCTGGCGCGTCCTCGACGCTGAGATGGCCAACGTCGTTAAGACCAAACTTGTCCCCGCTGACCTGGAGATTATCTGTTACAGTGGACGGATGTTCAACGAGGATGACGCAGGCCGTCGCGTATTATCAGTTTTATGTCGTATACCAGCAAATCGAGTTCAGCAGCTTCGAGAAGTGTCAGGCCCTGATGGTGTCTTCTTTCAGAGATCCAACATTGGCAGTGACGGAGCAGTACTCAAGCAGGAAAAACAAGATGAGGAGTTTGTGCCCTTCCAGCGTGGCAAAACCATTGCCGAGGCGATCGTGTCGACTGCCTCCCTGGAAGGCGCGTGTGGGCTTGGCTATCACTTCAAGTCGCTCAATCTCTTTCTTCGTCAAAAAGCAAAATGCGGCATCAGCATGGCAGGCGCTCCAGCAAAGAGCCCCTCCAGCGGCCACGATCTATGAGATCTCCCCCTTGCCAGCTTTAATCGACGGAAAATCATTGTGTGATCAGCTCAAGGCGCAGCTGGGCTGGCAATCTGAATTTGTGAGTGCACGACAACGTGGCAATGGCAAGCGACGCGTCCCAGTGGTACGTGTGCGAGCTGAATCAGCCCCAGCCAGTCGTGATATATCTATTGGAGGATGTCAAGCTACGATAAATCCAAAAGTTGAGAAGACTACTGAAGCTCCTGCCACAGTTCCTACGTGGGCCGAGCTTGTCACGCAATATTCTACGAGTGCGACTACATCTACACCGAAGCCACCTGCGACAGTTCGAAAGAGTATTGCTGCGCAGTTGACTCGACCGAATCCGACTGCGCAGGCCCAAGATGCACACATGCCACCGCGAGCACAACCGCAAGCTCAACAGCCAGAAGCAGGTGCAGGGCTTTTCTCAGAATTTCGTGAATTTCTAACATCTGCTATTGGAGCCGCAGTTGGAAGCCACAACTCAGCAATATTATCACAGCTGCAGCTTCAAGGTCAAGGACTAGCGCGGTGTTTGGACATGATGATTGGTCCAGCTACTACCGCTACACCGTCCTCGCCGTCGACAGCTACTCGGGTCACTGACGAAGAACGTAAACGGAAGGCCGAGCTTGAGGAGTTCACGAAGAAGCTCAAGACGTCCTTGGAAATGAAGGTGGAACAATGACGGCTTGGCGACGTTTGCGAGGCAAGCAGTCGCCACCCCCAACGGCGGCGGCAGAGGGAGAGATCCCAGTTTTGGCCACCATTTTGTCAGCAAGTGCTACATCCTGGAATTCGTTTGTGGGCCGCATGGACACCATGGACGCTGACCTTCTTCTATTGCAAGAGACGCGATTAGATTACAAACAACAGATGGGTTGCTCGAGAGCGTGCCGGGCTCATGGATATGAAGCCACTTTTGGACATCCGCTCAAAGCCCAGAAATGTCTTGGAGATACATATCACCGTACACAACAAGGCGGTGTTGCTACTATTGCCAAACGATCGCTGGTCACGCTTCCAGGCGGGCGTAAGTATGGGGCTGCCAAAGAGATGTTTGCAACGACTCGCTGGGTGCGAGTAGTTGCGCTCTTTGGTTCACGTCCCATCCACTTCGTCAATCTCTACAGCGAGGCCGGCCACGACAACATGATCAGGACCCGAAATGATCGGAACCTGCACTACAGTTTCGAGGATGCCGAGAGCCTAGGCGACCAAGCCGTGGTCATCTGCATGGACGCGAATACTACCACGGGGCATTCCTCAACATTGGCTGCTATTCTTGCCGCGGGCCGCTGGCGCGACGTGGGAGCTACGCATGGAGCCGAACCGACATACGGAGTGGACCCTACTTGGGACAAATTTACACCTGGAGCGCATGTGAGCCGTCCAGACCTAGTTATTGTCAACACGGCGGCCAGGGATGCGATCAAGAAGTTCCGACTACGCCGCGACCTTGGTATCAAAAGTCACTTGGGGCTCGAGATGGTGCTGAACGTTGTGCAGCTGACGAATACATTCGACAGCATCAGGATCCCACGAGCTTATCCAGTTGATTCCGCCATCAAAATCAGTGCCGAAGAGAGCGACACCCTTGGACGACAATGCATAGAAGTACACTATGAATCTTTCGAGCAAGCGCTTGTAGTCGAACGAGCTGAAGATGCTTGGGCCCTTGTCGGAAAGATCGGAGAACTTTATCTCGAGAAGAGGCTTGATCACACCGGTATTACTTTTGGAGCTGCGTATCATGGTCGAAGCCAAGAGCCCGAACTCACAACCTGGGAGAGTACGGCACCACCTGCGGGGCGTGACAAGCTAAAAGAGGGACCCACAGCGACTATTTTACGACGCTTGGAGAACCTCATCAGCCGTCTTGCCGAGCTTGCACTGCAATTGCATCGTGGTGCCACACATCCCAGCTTTCAAGTAACTTTGCGGTCCCAGGCGCTGTGGCGTAAAATACGAGGACCACTTCAACGTGAACTACATCTACCTCCAGCTGTTCTACCTATTGGACTGCCGTGTTCAGCCCAGATTGGGGAATGAACTACAGGCCTGGAGAATAAGCACAGCAAGCACGTCAAGGATCGCAAGTTAGCGAGGATTGATAGCTGGCGCAGGACCTTGAGATAATCTTTACGCTATTCAGCAGGCCGTGAGGTCTATGCTTGGATCAAACAGCGCCAATATCAGACTATTCATGCAGTACGTGGACATGCAGACCCTGCTCGGATTCGCACACGCAGAACGGACATGCTACAACATATGGATCTTTTTTGGAGCAGGATTTTCAATAAGGGTGAGCTGAAGACGTGGAACAAGTTTGAGGCTCGCTTCTGGCAAGTACGCCAAGCAACATCCTTGCGAGATCGAGGACATCACAGGCCAACGACTTCACCAACAATTCCGCAAAATGAATGTACATCGTGCTGCTGCTGCTGACGGATGGAGAGTTGCCAAGCTTCGCCTCCTGCCACCCTGCATATGTGACCTCTTCGCCGCCCTCTGCAAGGGGGTGGAGGATGCCTGGTTGCGTTGGCCACGTGCGATGACCCTTGGAATAACGAGCTGCCTCCCGAAATGGGATCAGGAGGCTGACCTTGCCGCGGAGACAGAGCCAGACAACGTGTGGACAGCATCTATTTCAGACACGAGGCCTATCACCAATTTGAGCCCAATCTATACTGCCGTCACAGGCGACAGATTCACCCAAATGCCCCCCTGGCGCGAACTTTGGCTTCATGACGGCGCTACTGGGGCGAGGAAAGGGTACCACTACCAAGCTGTATCTTGGGAGTTGGCGCTGGACATAGAGTACGCCCACATCACAGGCACCCCGACCTCAGGATGTTCAGCGGACCGCCGAAAATTCTTCGACCTTCTCGAGTGCGAGATCGGCAACAGGCTGATGAAAGCGCTGGGCTGCCCAGACGGGGCCATGCATGCGCCCACCATCTTCTATGAGGACCTCCGAGCGAGGTGGAAGGTAGCGCGCGCAGTAGGCCCTGAAACCAAGCGCAGCAACGGTTTTATTCAAGGCGACTCCTGGTCCTTGCAGCAAGCACTCGCTTTGATGTCGATATGGAGTTACGCCCTGGAGAGGGAAGCGGACGTGAAAGTTGCTTCCTTCATTGATGATGGAAACTTCAGAGCAGACGGACCCACTCATGCCATTCGGACCGCCAACGCAACGACCATTTCAGTAGAATTTGATCGACATTCAGGTACACAAACCAATGTTGACAAAACCAAACACTTCGCCACATCGATCAAGGCAGAAAGGGAGCTTCGGAACCACCTCCGCGCTCAAGGACATGACCAAGCATCGGTTGTACGCAATTTTACTCTTGTGGGAGGACAGATTTGCACGCTGGGCATGTGCCCGCAGGTCGAGAGACGCCGACGGTACACTTCAGCATATCGTGTGACACAACGCACTGGAGCAGCCCCACTTGGACTTCAGGGACAGCAGCGTCTCTTGGCCACTGCGGCCTTGCCGCGTATTGCGCCAGGGATGGAATACCGACGACTGCCGAAACACAATCATCTCAATTTCAGATCGGCGGTGATAAAATGTATGTGGCAAAGGGGGAGATCGCATCGCTCCCCAGCCATGACTCTAACTCTTGTTACTCGAGGTCACCTGCTTGACCCTGTGCAGACTGCCACTGCCCAACCGCTGGTGGTAGCAAGGCGGCTCTTCTCCAGCCCGAGTGCACCACGACTACTACGACGTGCGAAGCAGTGTTGGGATATTTTGCAGCATCGAGTTACATGTAATGTGAAGGACAGCGATACTGGGCCAATCAACATAATCCGCTCAGTCTTGAAAGACCTACAATGGACCTGGCCAGCCTTCGACTACTTCGAGAGGGCAAATCATCAAAGAGTTTACCTCGCCAAGCACCCCACGGGCTGGTGGCAGCATATACTGAGAGAGGACCTTCGACGTTTCGCGTGGCGATCCGACCCCCAGTTGCAAGAACGCAAAGATATGAAGGGCTGCTCTGCTGGCCTGAATTACCACGTAACCACGTCCATCTTGCGCAAGGCTGGCCGCATCACCAAGCCTGAAGATGAGGACGTAGACGAAGAGCCGAAGGAGCAGCCACCGCTACTACTTGGATCCTCGGATATTCCAGTACCCAAATTGACTACCAAGCAGGTTCCCTTCTTGCGTGCTTATCTACAAGGTGGCACCATCACTGGACACAGACTGCATTATATCACTAAGAATCCAGCCCACATGAAGTGCCCGTTCTGCCTCGCCCCCGACGAGACCATGCAGCACTTCTTATTGGACTGCCCCAGGTGGGAACCACAACGAAGAGCGCTCATGGACAGCTACACGCGAGAAGAACTTCTTGCGCTACCGACGTGCCTTCTGTGTTGTGGTCAATTTCCAGACAAGCCAGAATACGACGCATTTGCATGCGAGCTACTTCCAGATGGTCCTCCTCTACGTGCACCGCCACATCACGCTGACGGCGAGTGCGAAGTGGGAGATGATGAAGTCGGTATTCTCACCAAGATCGACGGTTTCTTTGTGGTAGCAGGTGACGGGTCATGTCCTGGCCAGGCGGCCGACTTGCGTCTCCGCAGGTCGGGGTATTCACTATACTACGGCAGTGGACATCCTTGCAACATTGAAGTACCCCTACGCAGTGTGGCCCAAGGTGTTCAGCGCGCCGAGGTCGCAGCACTCCGCCACTTCGTGGCATGGAGCTGGGGCAGACAGATCTACTTGACTGACAGCAGTTATTGTGTTCGCAATTTTTCTACACTTCTTCGAGGAGAAGCATTGCACACCAAGCAGCATACCGACCTCTGGCAGGCCATCGAGACTGGACTCAATGCCAAAGGACGAGAGCTATTTCGGATTCAGAAGGTCAAAGCCCACCGACGTGAGCGAGATATTCCAGAAGATGAACGCCACCTGTGGGAGTTGCACAATCAAGCTGATGCTGGAGCTGTACGCGCGGCGAGGTCCCACGGCCTACCAGATGCGATTCGGCAACAACATCGACAAGAACAGAAGTTATGCTGCCTCCTCCAGCACACAGCGACGGTCATTCTCATGCACCGAGCCAAGGAGCTGAAAGAGCTGGGAAGGGATTCACACCATGCCAGGTGCGAGCAGGCTCAAGCTATGGAGCAAGCCGAACTTGATGGCCAACAACTTGTGCAACCTGATGAGGATAACGAAGAGGATCCGTGGGCGCATCTGGGCATGGACTCGGACAACGAGCAACCCCTGCCACCGCCAAGACGAGCATCTTCGCCACCACCGCAGCCGGCATCTTCGGCCCCATCACCTTCGCGACGGCGCCGACTAGTATGCAAAGCACCTCCAGAAGCAGACCAGACAGCAACCACCCCCTGGGGGCCCAGCTCTTCATCGAGCGCGAGGCCCCAGGTGGCATCGACTGGTCTGGCCGTAGATCAATCCATCACGAACCCGACGAACTGGTCCCCGAAGGCTGCCTTTCCAGGTTACCAATGGGATCCAATCCAGCCGAATATACACGAGTGGAAGTTCAAGCCGATCCTACCCGAGACGGTCGTTATTCGAGCTTGGTACTATCAGCAATCTCTATTCCCAGCGGTGGTATGGTATTTTTCACAACTGAAATGGGAAGCAGACGATACAGTGCGAGCTCCGATGTCTGTGTCTTGGGTTGAGCTTGCCATCGGCTTCACTATTGTAACTGGCCTCCCTCTCGTCACTCCACAGGAGAGTGCCAGTGATGCGAAGATTGTGCGCATGGCCCGATACTTCAGCACTGCAGCGACGAGAATGGCTCAACTGTGCAAGTGCAAATTGGCTCCACGCGAGACCAACGCCGAGATAAGCGCTCTGATACCTCTTGGACTTCGGAAAGCTCCAGGGTCCAAATGTCGAGCGGCCTTCTTGGCCCACCAGCACACGATGAAGGTGATCTATGCCTTGGCCCTCGCCTCCACAGGTCAGAAAGGCAGCCTAGACGTTCGTCCTGATTGGTGCTCGCCCCCGAAGCCGATCTGGAACGTTCCACGTCTCCAGGAAAATATCGCCAAGACTGTTCGAGATAGTGATCTTTCTGCACGGGCCATGCAATCTGTGGCAGCGCTCGCGGAGAGAGGCCCCCACACCAGGGATGTCGTATCTGTCCAGAAGCTACGCAACGTGGTTACCTGGACGCCAGATGAGGAGCGAGAGTTTCAAGGCCTACAAGGGCGAGCTCTCACTGATGAACAGAAACGGCTTCTCCACAACCGAGAGGCCCGACAGCAAGGCCATCATGTGCTCGGGCCGCTCACTGGAGCCAGGCGCGACCATGACCCGCACTTGTACTGCATCCAGTGCGAGTTCACCACTGCGGGGATTGGTCGCTTCAGTTCGTGGCCTCGCCTACTTTGCACACCTGGAGTTCTGCCGTCAGGGCCACGTCAATGCGGCCAGAAGCGAACGCCAGATGAGTATAATCAGTTGATCGTGGAACACAACAAACGTACCGAGACACCAGGCAACCGATGCCATGTCCTTCTTCCTTTCCGACAAGCACGAGTTGACCAGGAGCTCGAGTGCATGAAGTGTTCCAAGCAGACCGCCAAGAGGAAGTATTTCCAGTTCTGTGCAGCCATCTGCTCGGGGCGATAGCGTATTTCACCGCTACATTTCCCACGGCCTTGAGTGTTTGACGCAGGTCGTGAAGTCGTTCAATTTTCATGGTGGCCGTTATGTGTCACATTGGGCTCAGTTGTATCTTACCTGCTCGTCTACATGAGGAAGCAGGTCTCTCAAGTTTCGCAATTATGTTGCTACCGCGGACGTGCGCCAAGGTAGATATATGGATCATGTGTGTAGTAGTAGTAGTAGTAGTAGTAGTAGTAGTAGTAGTAGTAGTAGTAGTAGTAGTAGTAGTAGTAGTAGTAGTAGCGGCTGTAGCAGTTGTAGCCAGCGTAGTAGTAGTCATAGTGGCAGTAGTGGTCGTATTATCAGTGGTAGTGATCGTAGTCGTAGCCGTAGTAGTAGTAGTCGTCGTCGTCGTCGTCGTCGTCGTCGTCGTCGTAGTAGTCGTAGTAGTCGTAGTAGTAGTAGTAGTAGTAGTAGTAGTAGTAGTAGTAGTAGTAGTAGTAGTCGTAGTAGTAGGAGTAGTAGTAGTAGTAGTAGTAGTAGTAGTAGTAGTCGTAGTGGTAGTGGTAGTGGTAGTGGTAGTAGTAGTAATCGGTAGTAGTAGTAGTAGTAGTAGTAGTAGTAGTAGTAGTAGTAGTAGTAGTAGTAATAGTAGTAGTAGTAGTCGTCGTAGTAGTAGTAGTAGCAGCAGTAGTAGTAGTAGTAGTAGTAGTAGTAGTAGTAGTAGTAGTAGTAGTAGTAGTAGTAGTAGTAGTAGTAGTAGTAGTAGTAGTAGTAGTAGTAGTAGTAGTAGTAGTAGTAGTAGTAGTAGTAGTAGTAGTAGTAGTAGTAGTAGTAGTAGTAGTAGTAGTAGTAGTAGTAGTAGTAGTAGTAGTAGCAGTAGTAGTAGTAGTGGTATCCGCGATGCTTCGCCGACTCAAGCTCGATGTTCCCCCGACTGAGCCAGTCCCCCCGTCGTAGCGTTGCCTTCAACAGCAGGGGATCGGAGGGACCACATGGGGACGAAAGGGTCAGGCCGAGGGCGAGAATCAGGCGAACTGAGAGGAATATGCGTGTATGTAGATAGGTATAGACCTACTTGTATACCATATGTCTATATTTTCGGTCCAGAGAGATGTAGTGAGATGGGGGATCAAGAGGGGCAGGGAGGAGTGCCGGGAGGCAGAGGAGCGAGCAGGGTGAGGAGAGGAGGAGCGACGGGGCGGAGGAGGGCGAGCCAGCTCCCCCGAGCGCTGCCCCTGAACCAGAGAGAGGGGGGGGGGGCGGCACAGCGCCCCTCAACTGGAGAGGGGGGCGGGGGGGGAGCGGCGCAGCTCGGCAGCGTGCCCTCTGCATCTGTCGGGGGCCAGACCGCGCCCCGCCGGCCTCTTGGGCGGGGCGCGCGCCCGGGCGGCCTGCCCAAGAGGGCGGGGCGCGCGCCCGGGCGGCCCACGGGCGCCGTCGCGGCACGGCGCCTGTGCGATTCCCGCGCGCGACGGGGCGGCTCGCCGTGCAGCGCCTCGGGTGCCGAGGGGAAGCGTGCCCCTCGGGAGGAGGAAGAGCACGCAGGCGCAAGGAAGCGCCGATCCCCATGGAGAAATTGTGTGTGTCCCAGGGCCCTTTCAGTGGCTGCAGAGCTTCCGAAGACAGGGGTGGGGGTCACGACCCTCCAGGACGAGTCACTGCAGACCCCCCCGTCCCCCAGACCAGCCACGAAGGAGCCTCCTTGAGCCCAGACTCCCTGGAAGCCTCCTCGACGGCTCAACTCGGGGCCTCCCCCAATCAGACTCCCCCGGCTGTAACACGTAACTTCGGAACAAAAAAGTCCGAGGTCTTTGGGTACGGGGGCCAACTCTAGCCTTGCAATGGGTCCAACCAAATGCGGTGGTGAGGGACTTAGTTGTGAGAGTCGTCTTCGGTGGCGCTCCCTATGGGGCCTCGAAGCGTGTGAGGGGTGTGCCTAGATGGGGCGGGGCGGGGGGGGCGCATGTGGATCCTCCCACTGCAGCTTCCGGTGCAGCTTCCTATGAGGGCACGAGTCGTGGAAGGTGTGTGTGTGTGTGTGCATGGTTCGGGGGGCGCATGTGGACCCTGGCACTGGGGCCTTAGGTCGAGTTCCTTATGTTGTCGCGAAACGTTGAAGGAGTGTGCCGAAATGGGGCTGGGGGACGCATGCGGACCCTGCCACTGGGGCCTGCGGTGGAGCTCCCTGTGGGGCCACTGTACATGTGAGAGGTGTGCGGAAATGGGGTGGGGGGGCGCATGCGGACTGCCCGTTTGGGGCCTTCGGTGGATTCCCGTATGAAGACACGAAGCGTGTTGGGGGTGTGCTGGAATGGGGCGGCTCGACTGAACAAATGTGGACTCGGCCACTGGGGCCTTCGGTGGAGGCTTTTATGGCTGCACGAAGCGTGTGAGGGGTGTGCGGAAATGGGTCGGTGGGGCGCATGTGGATTGTGCTATTGGAGCTCTCGGTAGAGGTCCCTACTGGGCCACGGAACATGTGAGAGGTGTATTAGAATGTCTGGCATGCGGAGGGCAGAGGCTAGGATAGGAGGAGAGAGGAGGGGGAGCAGGAGTGAGAAGACACGGGGCGCTGTCTCGTCAAAACGAGAACTCAACACCACAGGATGGTTGGGACATGTCCACCACCACCCCACCACCCGCGAACAGAGGGGAGGAAGGCGAGGGTGGAGGAGGGATGAGGATGGAGGTGGTGTTGGTGGTGGTGTACATGATTGGGGCCCGCATGAGGGAAGCGTGCCCTTTCCCGAAGAGGAACACATCTGCATACACATACAGCTGGGCCCCCCTGGCGGCGCCTCTGGCGCCTGGAGCGCCCCGCGCGTCAGAGAAGGCGACCCAGCGCCGATTCAAGAAATCCGCGCCGAGCTCCGAAAGTTTACGTTGTTACGAATTGCCTCTGGCCCATCCCGTCACCGTGCCTGGGTTTTGGATCAGAGTTCTCAGGAATGCTTCTTGAGACCTCTTCGGAGCGCTCTCGGTGGCCACATCTTGGGGCCTCTTGGGGGCCTCGTGGGGGCCTCGTGGGGGCCCATTGGGGCCGAGGGCTCGAAATGTGCGTTCGGGTCTCCCATCTTGGGCCCTTCTCGGGGCGTCTGGAAGTTCTCTTGGGGCTTCTTGGAGGCCTCCTGGGCCGTCTGGGGGAAATCTTGAGCGTCTTGGAGCGATCGTTCTTCGACTCGGGGCCGTCTTGGGGGCCTCTTGGGCCCTCTTGGCCCGTAGTGAGGCCGACTTGGGCCTGAACAGTACACGCGCCACCGCATCCCAAAGCCCAGGGGGCGCGCGGGAAGCCCCAAAAGATTTCTAAATCTGGGGTCCGGGCCCTTCGGACACTCCACAGGAGTGAGGATTGAGGCTCATGGGATTGGGCAAAGGACCTGAGGACACGCCCACACCGTGCCCAACGGCACGTGGGTGAAGGCCTGGGTGGAGGGTGGGTGTGCAGGACCCGGGTGGATGCCTGGGTGTGGCCCGGGTGGAGGGTGTGTGTGGAGGACCCGGGTGTAGGCCCGAGGAACAGCGGGCAGTGGGTGGAGGCCTGTGTGTGCAGGACCCGCTTCCCGCAGAACCCGTCCGAGTCACGCAAAGTCCGCTCCTCCGAGATACGTACAGTAGAGTCAACCCGCATAGTAAGGATGAGCAGCTTCCCAAGGGTACCCTTGCTTCCTTGCCCCTTCGGCCCATCCTTGGCGACTTTCGCTGGCCATCCTCGTTCGAAGACCGTCGGCATGGCCCTCCATTGCCTTTGCATCCTTACCGCGCGTCCTCATTGTGCGGGTCGACTGTATGCAGCAACGGAACTTCCAGCAGCACGCAGGAAGGTGGCAGAAGCCAACGACGATCACATGTCAGCCAGCGTGGGCTCCAAACAGTGAGGTGCTGCATGGGAAAGGCGAAACCTACGTGGTGTGAGCTTTGTAGTGTAAGCTCTAAGCTATGTAGTTTCAGCTGCATGGTTCGAACTATGGAGGTTAAGGCTAGGGCGTGCAAGCCAGGTCGTGTAATCCGTGCGGTGAGCGCTGAAGGTGAACTCTATGGGGTATAAGCTGTACGGTGCAGGCTACACCGTGTAAGCTGTGCGTCAGCGATTGGGGCGCACGCTGCGTGGCGGCACGAGGCGGCACGAGCGGCAGCGTAGCGCAACCGCCGCCGACCCAGCCAGCGCACGGGGCGCCCACGGGGCGGCACAGGCGGCAGCACAGTGCAACCTCTGCCGATCAATCCAGCGCGCGGGGCTTCCGCGAGTGTGAAGTCCGGCCTGTCCTCTACAGCAATAGTTTCATGATTGAGCATTTGTGATTGTTTTTCGAGTAACCATCCGCCTGCAAAGATGACGTGCCCGACCTAACGCGAGTGCCCTGGAGGCGGCACGGGCGGCAACGTGGCGCAACCTTGGCCAGCCCGCCCAGCGCACGGGGTGTCCACGAGCGCCCGGGCGGCAGCGTGAACCATCCTCGGCCAGTCTGTCCAGTCACAGAATGCAGCCCCTCAGCGCAAGGAGCGCTCGGGGGATTACGTCCACACGAGTTCGCCAGGTCCCCGCGCAGATCTGGGCACTGCGCTGGCCCCCTCCCTGCGGCGCCTCCAGGGCCGCCCCTGGCGCCAGGAGGGGGGTGGGGGGGCTCAGCGCCGACCCGAGAAACTCCGCGTGGACCTGCGGTAGTCAGTGGTGATGCGGTTTGTTGTTACGTCCAGTCTGGCAGCGCGCAGGCATGTGGCAGGAGAGTGCATCTCTCGTGCGGGATGGCGCAGGAGAGCAGCAGGAAATGGCAATCTCCAGGCACCAGTTGGGGCCTGTCTTGCTAAGCGAGTGCTCATCAGTATGGCGCTGACGGAGAACCGGACCTTCAGCGCCCTGGAGACATCAATACCTGCTAATTGTTGGTTCAAGGTTTCGGGCTCCGGGAGCCCCGCTCCGTCGGGAGCCCCGGAGTCCATGCCCGTGAGCAAGATCACGGCGTCCCTCGGGTGAGCCCAAGACGGGAGTGAGGACCAGTGGTGCGTGGATATCATGGCTGGGGCCACGAAATCTCCCAGGTATCGTGGCCCGTCTCTCTCTTCTGCCCACACGCCACTTTGCCCCCCCTTGTCTGCGCTCATGCCTCGGGCCATGATGCGCTAGCCCACCTCTTCCTGCCCCCCTCTTCGGCGCACCCGAATCCAAGGTCAGGGCCTCGCCCTTCTGTCTCGCCAAGCCCCGTCGAGCGGGTTCTTCCCTTGAATCAAGCAGTGGCAAAGCGTCCTAGCTCGCCTATAGGCCTACCAAATAATGTTCTAAGAAACTTTTATGGTCTGCACGACATGCTCTTAGAACATCTCTGGCTGAGACTGTCTTGTTTTCCACACATCGGGCTCATGTTCTAAGCACATTTTTTGTTATTCGAACATGTCTGGGTTCTCAGAACATGTCGTGGTATCGGGGGTGGACAGATCACCCACCCTGACACGTCGATTTGTGAATTCTCCGTTTTCGGTTCTCGAGAGGGCGCCGCGGCCGTCGTTTTCCAGGCCTGCGCCCGCCAGATGTGGGCCCGAGATCCTTTTCACCAAACCACGTCTTGCTAGAGGGGTTTTTGCCCATCTCCGGTGGTAGGCCTATAGGAAATGCCGGGACGGTCGGTCTCTGCCCAATTACAGTCAACGCGCTTAGTAAGGACGCGCGCCTTCGACTAGGATACCCTTGCGTCCTTGCCTCTGTGGCCCGTCCTCTGCCGTTTTCACTTGTCGCCGCCGCCCAAAAAATCCATGCGTCCTTACCACGCGTCCTTAATATACGTTTTGACTGTAAGCGCAAGGGACGAGGCGAGGCGGGGCCGGCTCGCAGTGTTTCGCTTGGGCACCTGCTCCGGCCCGCTATATAGGAGGCCGGCCGCGCAGCCCGGCATGTACACCACCGCACGGTTCTCCGACCCCCTGCCCTTAACGTCGAGTTCGTCCCTCCACAGGAGGAGTGTTCAAGAATAGTCGAAACTTTTTTGTCGGCGGGTCGAGAGCGGGCCTCTTCCGGTCACGAGCTAGGCGGGGCGCGCGAAGCACTGATTGGGGAGACAGGGCGCGGGCGGGCGGGGCCTCAGGCGGCCGGAGGGCGCGGGGTGCAGGCGATGCTGAAGAGCTTGCACAGGAAAAGGTACGCCATGGACAGGAGCCGGAGGCGAAGTCCCGGAGGGAGAGCGAAGTGGTGTTGCCGTCGACGGCGCGTCAAAATCACCAAATTGTCGAAACACAGTCCGGGGACGATTTTTTAGTTTTTGTCTTGGTTATGTTTGGTGCACTTTTGGAGTATGTTCGATTTTTGCGTCCCAAATCCGCCTGCAGGGGGACATGCCCGACCTACCCCTACGGTCTCATCGCTGAAGCCTTCCCAATTTCGACGAAGAGGCATCGCCATCATCATCATTAATTTTAAGCGCTCCGCGCGGGTTTCAGCTCTCCGACCTCTGCTCTCTCATCGCTGGAGCATTCCCAACCTCGAAGAAAACACATCGCCACAATCACACACTTTTGGTGCTCCGCGCGGGTTTCTTGAATCCGCGCTGGCCCCCCCCAGCGGTGCCTCCGGCGCCGCCCCTGGCGCGCTGCGCGCGCCAGAGAGGGGGTCCAGCGCACATCCAAGAAATCCGCGCGGACCTCCAACAGTTTATGTTTATGCCGTTGTTTGTTCTTCCGCTCCAACCCCTGCTCTCTCATCGCCGAAGCCTTCCCAACCGCCGCGGCCCTTCAAACAGGCAGAGCAGCCAGAATTGGCTGTCTCTTGTATGGCTCATCTGCTTCGGGCTCTTCCACAGCAGGAGCCCCCCCCACCCGTGTGTGTAACGACTAACTGGGTTTTCGTGGGGCGCGAGGACGGCTGACGCGAGATAGGTTGCAGTGCGGACCGCGGACGTAGCTGGTGCAGCTTGACGTTTGTTGTGTGGGCTTGTAGAATTTTCAGCAGCACTGACGTGCCACTGGTTGCGCGGAAAGTCCCGCTGTCGTGATCCCCATCCATAGTTTTGTTAGTCTTTTGCCACATGTTCTTACTGCTCGGTCCAGCTGCTTGCGGGATTTTCCCCGTGCCAGCACATCCACTATCGGAATTGATGCGGCATGCTTCTGCCAAGCTCTCCCGATTAAGCCATGCAGAAGCACCTTGGGGCCGTCCGGGAACCAGCGCAGCGATTCTGCGTTGTGGTTTGGCCACTGGCTGCTGTCTTCTTTTTTTTTGCGTATTCGTGGAGGTTTATTCGTTTTTTTGTCGGAGCATCCCGGGGATCTCTTCTCGTGGACCTTTTGCGGGCTGCTTCGGGGGTTCGGGGAGCCTTTCAATTTTCAGAGGCCCGTCGGTGCCTTGGGGCCGTTCTTGGTTTCAGTGGTCGCACACCGAACTCTCCGGAGCTTGCTCGGTAAAGCCATCCTGGGGCCGTCCTGGACGGGCCTCCAGGTCGCCTGGAGTTCTCTTATATCATGTCGGACTGTCACAAGGAAGGGGGATCTCTGCTCGAGGCCCTCTGAGGCCTCCTCCTTCTCCTTCTTCTCCTAGGCAAGAGACGTTGCGCGCCGAAGAGTCTCCGACGAGCAACCGAAAAGGCGAGAAGCCGAACGAATTAATGTACCGGCCCAGTGGCCAGCGTTCTGAGAACTCGAGAAGTAGCCGCTCCCGTGCATCTTTATTCGTTTTGTCCGCGTCTAGGAAAGATATTCCTGGCCCAACCTGGCACATTCCCAGAGCAGGTATTGGACAGACAAGAGAGACGAGATGAAGAGATCAAACTTCATGGAGAGCAACCAACCAGGACGACGTCGTCCTGCAAACTGGAACTCGCCGAAGCATGTGGCCTCTCGCCCTTCTCACGGAGGGCCTGGGGCGCTCTGGATGCACGAGAAACGGTGTCCTGGGGGAGGGTCTCCTGCACAAGCTGGAGCCGCTGGGCGCGGGGCCTGCCACGTTGGAGGGAAGGAGGCTTCGAGGAGTCGGGGAGATCTTCCCCCACCCTGCCCACCCACGTCACCCCGGATCTCGGAGCCTTGGAACGAGCAGCGATGGCGGGGGCCTGCGCCTCGGCGGCGCTCGGGGGGCCCGGGCCGCCCATCGGGCGTGCTCGCCGGCCATGCCGGTGCCGAGCCGGACTCTGACCGGATCTCTGCCAAGGCTAACCTTGGCGCGCGTGGGTCGGGACTTTGCGGGTCGGAGCGACGAGCACGGCTCCGAGGCGTCGAACCCCCAATCTTCGAGCCTTACCACACCTCGCGTCACACAGAAAATAGTGCGGAACTGCCCCCAGGGACACGACTCCGTCGAAAGCGTGGTTGGAGTCAGTGTGCAAGATTTTTGGGGGGGAACATGCATGCTGAAGACACTCCAGAACGGCTCTCAACTCTGCTTCAGTAGTCGTGGCAAAGGCGAATAATATTGGGCCGCATGTCAAAACAGTGACCTCGCGCAGGGTTCTGGTTCCTCGGACTAGCGCAACAAAAGATTAATTAGCCTCCATCGGACCAGGGTCCCATGTCACTTTCGAACATCGAGCCATCAAGGAACAACTCTCCGGAGAGCCGGCCTGTGGACCCGTGGACCCAGAGCAGTTGAGGGACGCCGGGCAAGTGGGGACGTTCCGACAGCGGCATCCGCATCAAGCATTTCTTGGCGAGCGGCTGCAATAGGCCACCGCTGCGCGCGGCTTCGCCGAGAAAATGACAACGCGCGCGCCTCATCAACCTCCAAGAAGTGCTCTGCGCATGTGCAACTCCTGTGCGACAGCGCACCGACTTTCGCGCTGCCCGCGGCCTGGCAAGCAAGGCAGCGTACCTCAACAGGGTGCCCAGTTTGCCACTGTCTCGCCACGGGCCACTGAGCTCCGATGACACGAACGCGCGCTCGAACAATGCTGCGACGAAGCCTTGGCGCGCAAGTTGAATGTAGGAAAAACGGGGCACACTTGCACTCATGCCAGGATCTCCAACATGCTCGGCTATGTGCGCGCCCTGCCCAAGATAGGCAACTCGCAAGACTTGCTGCTGGACTGCGAAGGCGATGGCCTCAGAGAGCCTCAGCACACGGTCTTCAAGAACACCCCAGAATTCGAGGGAACGCCCTCGATTACCAATCCGATGTTTAGCTTGAAGAGCAGGGCAAGGCTTCGCTATGCGCCCCCATTGGTACTTGAGGAGGTGGGGGGGCTGAGATGGACCACCTGCTTGAGACTCGCATCGAGCAGCAGGAACGACTTCATGGGCAACCGAGTGGCCCTGATAATGGGATCGAAGTCCGCGGCTGGTGCCAGTATCAGGGCCAGTCTGGGGCTTTCCCCTGCCCTCTTGTGATCCTGCAATCTGACTGCGAGACGGCCGACCGCCCCCAGCTTCTTTTCGTTGGCACCTGCAACGGCCGCGCCGATGGACGTGGCGCCCTCGACTGCTGACCGACCCATCTGACCAGGGAGTTTCTCCCAGGGCCGCCCTGACTTCACGGGGGACATGCGGCCCCTCCGGTTCCTATTACTTCAGCGACGCGGTGCGCTTTTTCAGCAGCACTGTCGGCACCCGCGTTGCGTTCAGTTCCCGCGGCCTGAATCCCAAGATGTCGAAGATTGCGAGCGAGTCCTAGTCGAATGTGTCTTGAATTGCTGCGCGCCCATCCCGTGTCTATCGCGGGCTGCACGTCCGCCGCGTGCTTTTCTGAGACGAGAAGCTCGGCCGACTGCTGCCGAATCGCCGAAGGAGGGACTAATCGACGTTGTCAGCTGGAACGACCGAGATATGCGCAGCTTGGACTTTGTCTGGGGGCCCAAGAAGTAGCACTTGAAGTATCAGCGCGGCGAAAGTGCAACCTGGGGCCGCCTTTTGCCGTAGCTTAATAGCATTACTGCGCGCCCCTGTGGGTGGGTGGGTGTGTGTGTGGGGGGGGGGGGGGGGCGCGGGGTCGAGCCCGCTAGGCGCCCAGTGAGCTTCAAATAGTGGGCGAAGCTGCCAGAGCCGCATGTGCGAGTCTATAGTTGCCTCTAAGAGATGCTGATGTTGCACGGGCCCGAAGTTCTTATTCGGGTTCAGAATGATGGCCCCGAGCAGCGCCCCTGGGTGGTGCTATGCTCGGGCCAGGCGTGAGAGATCCACGCGCGCTTCTCCGCTGATCGGAATTTCGTGGACCACCTGAACTGTTTTAAGTTGCGGCGCTGCCAAACGCAGATTTTCGAACGCCGCGGGCGACGCTGGAGACGGCAGAGAATGTGCAGCAAGCCGAGAGATCGAAGGCCTGCGAGTCACTTGTCGATCAAGACGATCATGTTGCACATGTTGGGACAGGCCAGGCGCCAGGCGACGCGCGCAATAATGTCGCGTCGGATCTCCGGGGCAGGGCTCCAAGGGACTGGGGGGGCCCTGGGGCTGACCTGATCGCATCGAATCCAGAATGTGTTTTGCCGGGTGCGGTGCGACTCGCAGTTTTGCCTTCCGAAGCGAAGGGGGTGGGGGGGGGCGGGGGCGGGTCGGCCCCCCGGGGGGCCGGCCAATCCAGGGGCCGCCCTTTAATGTGCACCTTCCCCCCCGTTCTCCCTGCAAGACGCCCGCCTCCTTCTGCGAGCTAGCGGGCCTTGGCGCGCGGTGATCCGCGCTGCCCAGCTGCCGACCTATTGGAGGCGCGAAGGGGGGGTGGGGGGGCGCGCGGGCGCGCCATTGACGGGGCGGGCGTCTAATCACCCGCGCCGTCATTTTAAAGCGGCGAGCAGCCTGCCGGCGCATGCCAGCAGCAGCTCGGTCATTGCAAGGCCGTGACACCACGGCCGCATTGCCAGGCACTTGGATCATGTTGGCCAGGAAGTCGGTCTAAGAGATGCCATGGTCTTCTCGGTGCACCACGGGGCCTGGGGAGCTTGCGGTGCCTGTTCATGCTGGGCGTCCAAGCTGGTTGTGTTCCAGTGATTTTGCCTTGAGCCATGGCGAGGTCCCCGGGCGCGATCGACGCTTGTTTCCACCGGGCCGCAAGGACCGGGCGCCTGGGAGGTCGAACTCGCCCAGGTCGACGAGCGGGTTGCAAACCAGGCTTGGGCGGCGCGGCCCGCCCGCAATGTTTATCGCCCTCGTCTTGTGGCAATTGGAAAACCCGAGCCCATCGAGCTCTGCGGTTGCGATCCAAACGCCCCATTTGGCATCTGCAGAATCGGCGCCGGCAACAGCTCTGGCAGCTTCTTCCAAAGAGCGCGGCTGAGGCTCTGAGACGCATGCAATAGGGCGGACGGGAGGAAACTTGTGCAGCACCTATGCCGCGCGAGCCTGCGCGTCGCTAGCGACGCCAGCCATGCGCGGCAGAACTGCCGGGTGAGTAGAGGTGGGGATGTCGGCTAAAAACTTCCTGGGGTGTCTGCCCAGGAGTTTAAAGGAGGTGGCGATGCAATCCATGACGCGCCCAGCGGGCATGCGCGCCCCCCGTCGAGGGTGTCGCAATATCTGCATCCAGCGCCCGCATCCAGCCTGATGCGTCATGCTGATCTGGCTCTATCTGCGTGCCACCTGCTAGCGCCAGGGAGGCAGAACCGAGCCGAGTAAGTATATGCCAACTGACATCTGCCAGGTTTTCCCTGATGTTTCAGATATAAATTGCCCAAGAGAAATCTCCATTTGAACGACGCCCAGGCCAAACCTCAAAAGTGGTGGACTCCAGGAGAGCACGGCCGATGCGCTTGGGAACCAGGTGAATAGACCCCCAGAGGTACCCACGTTCTCCGTGGAAGAGACCGATAAAAAGTTAGCTGCCCACCCGTCACGACGAAGTGCAGTTTCCGAGTAATGGGTGTTCGATATGTTGTGGGCTTCTGCGCGCCAAGCGCGTCAACGCCAGAGAAGCCGCCCAACGCTTTCTTGGAACAGGAATGTTGAGTAGTATTGCTAGTGCCAAAGCGCCAGTCGCCAGTCTTTTTGATCTGGGCGGGGCTGGGAGACGCACCTCCCGTGGCGTGGCGAGCGCGAGCCTTCGCGTTGGTGGCAGGAGTTTAGGGCCTCCTGCAGCTGCGCCCAGCACCGGGGAGGACATCGGGGGAGCACCGCTTGCACCTGGTGGGCGTCTACCCCGGTGGCGACGGCGAGGGTCTCAGCCACGTTGGCGCTGGAGAGGGATGCGGCGATGCCGTGGTCAGCGGTGGCTTCCTTGCGCGCGACGTCGGCGCGGGCGCCATCGAAGTCCACGTCGCCATCGCTGCTGCCACGGCGCGTGCGGCCCAATCCGGGGATGGCCTCAGGCGCGAAGCTGCGACTGCTGCCGGCGGTGCGCGCGCCGCCCTCTGTGCTGCCTTTTTGTTCTCGAGCTGCGCCTTGGCGGAGAGCAGCTGGTTGAGCTGCACGGTCAGGCTGTGGTAGAGCTGCTCGATTCGCTGGAACATGGCTGCGTCGAGCAGCACAGTAGCGCCTGCTATCCGTGCCCAAGCTTTTTGTGAGCGCGCCAGTGCCTGCTATTTCTGCTCCTGGAGCGCCGTCAACTCGAGGCGCAGCTCCACAACACGCTGCAAGTGTTTCTGAAGGACGTCGGGGGCACCCGAGAACTTGTTGTCGACGGGGACGAGCTTGGATTTGAGCTGTCCGTGTTGCAGATGGGCGGCCTTGGATACAGCATGCGGATCGCCGCTGCGCTGAGCACGGAGCGCTGCGACCTGGTTGCGTCGGGCGTGGGTGCGGAGCAGCGCAGCATTGCCTTTTCCGTTATCCTTCTCTTCTTTCGCTTTTTGTCCTCCTCCTCTTTCTCCTCCTTCAGCTCCACCTCATCCAACTCCTCCTCCTCTTCCTCCTTTGCCCTCGTCCGTCCTCCTCCCTCTTCCTCCTCCTCCTTCTCTCCAAGGCCTCCCCGAGGTTTCCTTGGCAGGCCGAGGAGCTCTAGACGCAACCAGACACTCCGTATTGCCCTGGGCCTTGGACGAGTGGTGCCGCAGGGCCCCGTCGGAGGGATCTTCGGGCAGGGCTCGTTGCGATTCCTCCGATTCCGATTCGATTCGACTTCGATGGCTTTCGATTCCGATTCGATTCGACTTTCTCAGTGGAGGAACGCTAGCCTTCCGATGTCCGCGCCAATTCGACTTTTCCCGACTTGGCTGCCGATGTTTGCCGATCCGATGTTTGTCGATCGCCGATCCGACATATCGAGTCGATTCTGGGCTCCCCTGCCTCGGGTGAAGCTTGGATGTTTCGGGTGTTTCCCGGGGCCTGCTGGGGCCTGTGTATTTCGGCGTCGATCGCATGTGTTTTCGCGGTGCATTTCTTCGTGGACGTTCTCGTTTGGCTGGGACCCTTGCCAATCATTTCGGGCAACGGGGGATTTCTTTGCTCCCGCTACACTCGTGGACAAACAGATGTACGCGCACGAAACCGGAGTCGATCGATGGCAAGACATTTCTGGCAGTTACGTTTAAGTAAACCTCATTTCCTCCCTCCTCCTACCCCTCCGCCTCCCTTTGTCCTATCCCACGTGTCCCTCCTCGAATCCCTCCATCCCTCCCCCCTCCTCCTATCACTCTTCCTCCTCCGCCTGTCCATCCTCCCTCCCCCCACCTCTCCCTCCTCTTCACCATGTCCCTCTTCCTTATCGCCTAGCGTTCTTTTCCCTCCTGCAAGCCGCGGCACCGTTGCCGCGCGGCGAGTCTCACTCCATAGTTCAGTTGGCATGCATCGAGCGTGACCCACTGACGATTCTGATCAGTCCTTGGGGAGGCACTGATCGCCAACGGTGCTCTTATCTCATCCTCCTCCTCTCTCGTTTGGAACTCTTTGTGAGGCTCATCTTTTAGGGGCACAGGGGTAGACGATAGCGTTATCGACCAACTCAAGTAATACAGCCAAGTGCTGAACATACCACCCCGAGGGAATGTAGTGAGTGGCGCTAGAGTGAGAATAGAGTGATAATGGAACTACATCGCGAATGATGTGAGCAGTGAATAGATCCGTATCACCCGCAATTGCGGATACGAGTGAGGGGACGGTTGATTCGTCGGCAGTCGGCGAAGTTCTGAAGAAGTCTGTTGCAGGCGCCGGTCTATTAACACATAAGACAATGAGCTCGCCGCAGGCGCCGACTGTTCGTCAAAGCAATGTGGGTGGGTCGTGGGTGTTGTCGCGGGGGTTGGTCGCCAGATAGGTCGCGTGGTGGGTCACGGGCGTGTCGCGGGCGAGGACGACGGCAACAACAATGCAACAACATCTTCAGCCACGCGCCCAGGGACAATGTTGGGCGTGTACGGCGTGCGGACCCAGCCGTTTGGGGCCTTCGGTGGAGCTCCCTATGGGGCCACGAAGCGTCCAATCGGGTGCGGAGGTGCTGGTACGCCATGTGGACCTTGCCACTGAGGCTTTGTGTGGAGCTCCCTATGGGGCCAGGGAGTGTGTGATGAACGTGCCGAACCGGGATGGTTGGGTCAAAACAGTGGTGTTCCAATAACTCGGGGAGCCTCCTAGTGGGGGATGAGTGATGGGGACGAGGATTAGGGGGACGAGTAGGAAGGGTAGGGGGGGGGTATTGGAGGATATCGCGGATCCTCGCGTTCTCATCTGTCGTGGAGCGCGCCTATCAAATGTTTGGAAATCCCAGCAACCGCTCGGTCTATTAAGTCGCACGGCCGATTTTCGATGTGGGACCCACCTAGTGAGCAAGGTATATTGAGGGGATCGGGCGTGCATGTGTTCGGGACTCAACTTCCCGCGTTGCGGTCGCGCGCGAGCGCCCATGTTTCCACGAGGTTGGCCGTCTCATGGGCCTGCGTAAACCATCGCGTGCTTCTGGTCTCGCGTAAGACGTCTTTCTCTGTGTCGCTCACGTGAGGGGCGCTGAACGGATACCCCCGTTTTTATCCTTGCGCCGCTTCCTCAACGTAGGATTTAGCATGGTGGTTGGAAGACGAGTGACCATGGGATGAGCGGTGGAAGAGTTGGGGGTTGGACATGTGTACGGTACAGGTTCGGTTTCTTGCCAGAGTGTGCCTTGGCTGTTTATTATATAGATCTTCAGAGTGCCAGGCCATGGAGAGCAAGGACTTTTCAAACATGTGCACCGAAGACTTGTTGATATCCTCTTCGTGGGTAATCGCGGATTGCATTGGCTTCCGTAAGTAGTGCGTTGTGGGATCTTCGAGGTTTTGAGATCTTATTCGTGGGAAGTCGTAGAGATCATTGGAGTCGTGCGCAATGGAGTCGTCGATTTTTGTTAGATCTCATGCGTGCGAAATCGCGGAACGCATGTGCTTCCGTGAGTTGTGCGCAGTGAGACGGTTGTTCTCCTTGAAGAGAAGTAGATCTTCAATTAGATAGAGCTTGCTTCGGTATCTAGGCATGGAGATCAGTAGGACTCAGTATTTTCTAACCGATCCCCATGCCCACCGTGCCCTGGTATCTGAGTTCCACCATCCCACCACCCCAGTTGTGGATAGGCTCCTCGAAAACCGAAGGGAACAGCCTGCATGACCATCCAGGGGGGCAAATCGGCCAGTAGGGCCAAGGTCACGCCAGTGGGGAGAGGGATCGGCTAAAAGATGCTCAAGGACGCATGGAATCCTTCACACGGCCGTGCGACGTGTCAGCGGCCGACTCGTTCTGGGAGCGTTGCCGCTGCGTGCCGGTCGCCCACCGAACTGAGCCGGTCAAAACGTCGAGTGTCCCTGAGCGCGTGGCCGTTGCGATCGGGTGCAGCTAGTTTGCGAACCAGGTGCACGAGAGGACACGGGGATGCCTCGATGCCCGTTCATGGGAGCCTCTTGGGTGGCGTTGCCGAACGCATCTCTTCCCGCACCTGGGCCACACACTCGGCCGTTTCTCCTGCTCTGCTCCTCCTCGCCCTGCCTGTTCCTCCTCCCCCCCCCTAAATCGTCGGCACTGGCGTCAGCCTGCTGTCGATCTTCTTGTCAATGATTATCTTGATAATCTTTTCCTCCACAGCTCGCGCCAGCGATCAAACAATCTATCAGATATCACGATAGCCCCTGATGGGCTGAAAGTATCACTCACTGAGTGAGTGGGTGGCCCGTCCGGCCGTGCCCGGTAGCCTTACCGGGACTCAAGGGCGCCCTCGGACCGAAACAGCATCGGAAGGCCAACTGCACAGTACAAAACACACAGGGGGAAAACCTTTTGGCCTTCGATCCTGCAAAAAGATCCCTTGGAGCGGCGCTACTCTTGCATACATCTCGCCACGCGAGCAAATCTGAAACATGAAATAAAATCTCCGCGAAGCGGACAGATATGTAAGATGAAATGAAATCCCCGCGTAGCGGTCAGATATGAACAATAAAATGAAATCCCCGCAGAGCGGTCAGATATGAACACTAAAATGAAATCCCCGCGGAGCGGTCAGATATGAACACTAAAATGAAATCCCCGCGTCGCGGGCATATATGTAAAGTGAAATGAAATCCCCGCTGCGCGGGCATATATGTAAAGTGAAATGAAATCCCCGCTGCGCGGGCATATATGTAAAGCTACATTGTCACAGAGCTTGTCGAAATCAAATCACAAACCTCGCCAAGGCGAGCGATATGGAAAAGAAACCACCTGACAGAACTCACTCTTCCGGATGAACTTGTGGTTCCTCGGCGAGTGTCGGCTTCTCTGCAAGAATATCGAGTCCCCTCAGACCTCGTTTCCTCGCAGACTCGAACTCGGGGTCATGAACCAGCGTCCAGTAGCTCCTGCACATGAAAACATCTAAAAGCTTCTGTGCCTCGTACTTTATCTTCGTGCAACCGTCAGCTACCTGCGCATGAGAATGAACCCAACGAAGTTCGGCACCGCACTCTTGAACTCCTTGCTTGAATGCCATGCACTCAATAGCGGCGCGCTTGTCGCTGAGACCCAGTGCTGAACTCTCTGAACCAGTAACTGCATCATATAGGCTCTTGCAGTCCGTGACGAGAACACTCCGTGGTCCCTTCTTGATCATGTCGTAGCGCTTGTCGCCCTTGAGCTGCACATCTGCACTCAGCATCTCCATCCAAGCTAGCTGTGTATACTCCAGCTCCTCCGCGGCCTCGCTTGCTGCTTGGATTTCTGCACCCAAGGATGAACGGCACTTTCGTGTCAGCTTCTTAGAAGCTCCCGTGAATACTGTGAACTTCTGCTTCTTGCCGCTGAACGCCTCCACCTCGGTAGTGCACACGACATAGCCTCCTTGACTGCTCCCATCTGCTCTCGAACACCACGATGCATCGAACCAACATACCCACGCCATCTGCTTATAAGGATGTATGGTAACTCCTGTGCTCGCAAACTCATGAATAGTCTTGACCAACTGGTTGATCCTGCCGAGGTCCTTGACCGTCGCACTGTTGACAACCGCTTGTAGCATAGAAACGTGCACAGCGATTTGAGGCATCGTCTGTGTTGAAAGCCATTGAGCCTGTCCAAGGATGGCACGGCATGCAGTCACTTCTCCGGCTGTCAGCTTGTCGTCCGGACTAGCCTTTCGGCCTCTCTTGACGTTGATCGGCTGGATGGTCTTGGCATACTTTTCTTGACTTAGCCTGAAACCTCCATCTGGATTTCTGGAAACTTCAACTCCACAAACTGAATAGCCAGCCTCATCTGACTTCCACATGCCCCATCGGTACAGCGTCTTGAGATGCTCGTACTCCACGTTGAACTCCACGTTGGTGAGATCACCCGCAATCTGGAAGTCATCCACATGCACCAGGATGAGCCCGATCACCTTGTTGTCTGAGTTCAGCTTGGTGAAGAGACACGGCTCGAGCTTGCATGCATACCAGCCTCTGCTCTCTAGATCCTTCTTGACCTTCTCGTACCACCGCCTAGGTGCATTCGTGAGTCCATAACAGGCCTTGAGAATCTGCACAACGTCATCGTCATTGAGCTGTAGTGCTTCTCGTAGTTGTGGTACTGGTAGTGCATAAAGCTCTCGCTCTTCCTCTGTAGCTTCCCCTTGCAGGAACGCTGACGAAGCATCTGCAAGCCACGTCTGCCAATTCTCGTTGGCCGCCTTCTGGTATAGCATCTGGCGCGCCCGCCTCGAGGGTGTTGGCGATTCGGTCTTGAGCGTCTCGAGGTCCTTGTCGGTGTAGCCGATGAGTACCAGTCTGGCCTTGGCCTTCTTGCCGCCTTCCGCTTCTGGATCCTCCTTCCAGGTAAGTACCCAGCGCATCTTCATCAGGTCGACGTCCGGTAGCTTGCTCCGAAGTACACCTCGGCACGCCTGCGCGAGTAGAAATTGATCAACTTCTTTCTTCATAGCCACGTCGAACTTCGCCTTGTCCTTGTCGTCCAGCTTCTTGTAGCTGACCTCAATGCGCTGCCTCCTGGCCTGTGTAGCCACGTACAGCCTGGGGTCCTTCACGAAGCGGTTGATGGCGTCTCGGGAGGGGACCGCGATAGACAGGTAGACGGCATCCTGGCGCTCGGTGGTGACGTCCTGGTCTTCGCTGGTCTTCTGAACTGAGTTGGGTTCGTCGGTCATCCGCTTGCCGAACTCATCAGGGTCTCTCCCGCGCTTGATTCCAGTTCTCGTAGTCTGGCGCGACTTCTTGACTGCGGCATCTTCTTCAGCTTCTTGACGTCGCCGAACTCCAGGTACAGGTAGGTCTGCAGGTAGTTGGCCTGGTGGTTCTGGCGCCTCGAGATCCTCCGATGAAAGGTCGTCCTCCTTCTCTGACTTTTTGTCCTCAGACTTCGTGTCCTCCTCCTTGGTCTCGGCTGCCCCTGTAGGCTCCGACGTCGTAGGCGCCTCGGTCGCCTGAGTCTCGGCAGCAGCTGGCTGCCCATCTCCCGCCTTCTGCGGAAAGGGATCCTCTGGCTCCATTACCCACGCGTCATCTTCATCGTCGAGATCTGGAAGGCGTTGTCCGATCAGGTCCTCGAATTCGCTAGCCTTGACCTTCAGCATGGCAGCGGTGATGTTGAGAGGAACTGCCTCTCCATGAAGAAGTCTATGGATCTCGATCTCCGTCTCGGTAGCTGGTCGAAGGTGACCACGTCCTGCTCGCAGAAGTCGGCCGTGGTGCTCTATCCAGACGACTGATCCTGGATTGCCGTCCGAGCCAGGCTCCTGGGCGATGACTGTCGCCGGGCCAGCCCAAACTCCACCAGGCATCTTGACGTTGCCCTTTGCCTTCTCGGACCACCAGTAGCAAAGCTGCCCTGTAGTCCAGTGTGTCTTCTCTCTGGTCTTGCGTAGCTCCAGTAGGGCAAGACGTCGTCTAGAAGTAACCTCGAGGAAGGCCTTCCTCGCCTCGAGCCGCACCTTCTGGTTTTTGATGTACTCGTCGTCGTCGGCCTCGTAGGTCTTGCTGAGGATCGGCATGTTGTGCTCTTCGCCGAACACGTCGCCCACGATCGGCTCAGGGGTCCTGCCCAACATCATCTCGTAGGGACTGTGGCCTTTGTACCTGCCGAGATCGTTCATGGCGGCGATCGCCTCCCAGAAAATCTCGTCCGCAGTAACCTTGGCGTCGGACTCCTCGGCGATCTTGGTCATGGTGTCCTTTAAGATGCCGATATTCCTCTCACATAGCGCTAGCTGGTTGTGAGCCTGCCGAGCGGTGACGTCCACCATGATGCCGCGCGACGATAACCATTCCTTGACTCTCTTCTCGACATGGCAGCCTTCACCGTCCAGGCGTAGTAGAGCAGGTCGACCGTAGTACTGCATCCACGTCTGCTGCAGCGTCTTGCGGAACTCCTCGCCTGACCTCATGAGTCGGCCCTTGAGGTTGAGCTTCCCGCCGCTGAGCCGAGTGCCTGTATCGACGATGTAGGTCCCGGTCCAGGTCTGCTTGTCGCGAGGGTCCGTCCAGTAGAAGCCGTCCGTCTCGATAGCCTTCCCTGGTGTGGCCGGGCTGTATGGCGCAACCACGGACTCCATCGGCTTGTTCTTGTGCCGCTCGCACGCCTCGCACCTGAACTCAGCTGCTAATTTCAAGATAGGGCCTTGAGCGCCAGCCCGCTTGAGCACGTCGATGAGGGTCTTGTTGCTGCGATGCCCTAGCCTGACATGCAGCCTTCGAAGATAACCGTTAACTTTACCGACGTCCACCTCACCTTCCTGTGGCTCGTATTGTGGAGGTGGTGGTGGTATCTGATCTTCATCTGGGCCTGGGACTGGATCAGGTCGTTGATCTTCCTGAGGTGCATCCTGATGTTGTGGTGCTGCATGCTGTTCTTGTTGAACCCCAGGTCGCTTGAAGTATAGACGTGTCCTCGTATGGCTCGTGCCTTCCGGCAGCGGGGCGTATATCTCTTCGTCGGTCAGAATGCTCTCGCCCAGCTCGTCGCCAATGAGGATGTTGGTGTCGAGATCCCAGGTGAGCCTCCGCACCACAGAAAGCCACTCTGGTCCCTCGGTGTCCGTTCCCATGTACGTCTTGACGTTCTCGTCCTCGCGCTCCCAGCACTCGAGCTCGCCCTTGGGGTCGATGTCGAGCTCCGCCTCATCCTCCATCTCGAGCCTCTGCGCCTTGGGTAGCGGCTGCTTCCCGATCAGGCGCCGCTTGGTGACATACACTGCCTCGCTGAACTCCGTCTCATAGTCGCCTCCAGCCCACGCGCACCAAGTAGACCACTCCATACACCTCATGATAGACTTGGCCCACTTCTTGCACATCGCGGCCGGGTATGCTGCAGTGAACTCTGTAACCTGACCCTGTATCTCCTCGTGCTTGTGGTTGTGCGG